TAAACAAACACACAACTAAAAATAGTCAGAGGTGGCCAAAGATGTTCCTACCACTTAATAAATTGCAAGGGCTTTACGAAGTGTGTCAGAAATCTACAACAAAGACCAAAACAGGAGCTTGTTTTAATTATTACTATGTTTACATATTGATGAGGTGTGGAGCTTGTGTGTGGAATAGGGAGTGGGTGGAGATCAGAGGACAACATGCCGGAGCAGATTTTCTCTTTCTGCCTTGCAGGTCCAGGGGATTGATCTTGTCAGGCTTGAGGGAAAGTACCTTTGCCTGCTGAGTCATCTTGCCAGCCCCTAAAACATATCATCATATCATATCATATCATATCATATCATATCATATCATATCATATCATAGTATAAGACTTAACTAGTCCACATTTCACTAGGAAATTGTGTCACTGTATTAAGAAGGGATTGTCCATTTTCTGCAGTTAAACCCAGCCCAATCCTGTAATGCTCATTATATTGTGAACCGTCGTGTGCTCTTCTAGCTCACTGAGAAACTGACCCTGGAAGCAGGGTCGCCCCCTCCCCCCTTCAGACTCAAGCATGCCTATGCTAAATATCAGAGTCTCTAGTCTAGGATGGGCCGGCATTTCAAACTCTTCAGCAAAGAGGAAAGAGATCAAGAGTGAAGGCCGTGTGCCCTTGTGAATGGCTGAAAGGATCACTGTCTCCAATGGAGGCTACTAGTTTTCGTCCCTTGATACAGAAGTGCCCGTGGTGCAGTCCGGCTATAACAGGCTCAATTGGGCCCTCACTTCAAAACTGAGAACACGGCTCTAGTTCTCTGTGCCACACAAACTAGGTCTCCAAATAGCACAAGCTCGGCCGAGCAAAGCAGGCTGCTCTGGCGGGGCATGGCAGGACGCTATGCACCTAAAGCCATCTACCCTGGAGTCAAGGTGGGAGGATCTCACTGAATCCAAGAGTCTGAAACTAGTCTGGCAGTATAAGAAGGGCCGCATTTCAAGAGCAAACCAAACAGCTGGTCTGCTTTGCAGATCATATAAGCATCCCTCTCTCCCTGCCATATGCGTGGACTCAGGCTTTTGGATGAACTCTGCCCTGTGGTTATCTGTGAGCTAAGCTGAGAATAAGGTGATCTTTTGGTTTCTCTGTGGGGTGTGTTTGTGTTTACCTTGGTAGTGATTTGTTCGTGGCAACGTCTGTGTGGATGGCTTTGAAAACGGGTTATAAGCAGCTTGAACTTTATTGATTCTCATATATTATCCAACAAATTTTCACTGGTAACCAGACCCTACACTGAAGAATATCAGTTCCCAGATATTCTTGGGGAAAGGGTATGTGGAAGGAAGCTGCAGCCATGCTGAAGATCAAACAGACGGCTTGAGCTTGGTTGAGTGGAGCATCCAGGGCTAGTGGACAGTGGAATGCCACAAGCTAGATGCCGGTCTGTCTCAGGTCTCTCCAATAGCTACTCGCCTTTAGGCTCGGCGACTGACCCAATGTCCTCGTGACTACTGGGTAAAACTCTTGGACTGTGTTGGTAAGCTTAGGAGATCGCTACCAAACCTAAAGCTGATAGCACACGGTACTTAACTGAAGGGAAGAACTTGTGGCCAAGAAAGTCATTTTCCAGAGCAAGGCTTATCTTTTGCACCTGGGATGTGCTGATCCACAACGTCCCCAAACACAGGAAACTTGACTGCATACTTTGTGGTTGTAGGTTGTGTTCACATGATCACCCATTAATTAAAAAAAAAAAAAAAAAGATAGCACATGAAACCAATAGCAAACGTTTCTGTGCTTGGCTATAGCTCACCTATTGGATGTCCTATATTATTTATCAAATATGTTGATTTATGACTTTCTTTGTCCTGTGGTTGTAAAAGTTTGTTTATCCTTTTCTATGGCAGAATATGTCATTCAAGGTAAGTTGAACCCATGTTTCCATGTTTCCAGATCATGGTCACTCATACTGGGCTCAGAATAAGCAAATTTCTCATGGCTTTTAAAAGCAGAGATTTTTGTGTTTTGTTTTGTTTGTCAACAAAACAATGTAATGCTACTAGACTTGGTGAGGAAACTTGGCCAGGTCTGTCCAGAGTCATCATGGACGCTCAGTGTAGCAATTCCTCCTTCTGGGCTGGAGTAGGACCCATCTTGACTGGCCATTAGACAAGGAAGGTCAGGTCTTTATGGCCTGTACTTACATCAAGGAGGGGGAGTTACCAGCACATTTTTAGGTTTTACAGCTGGCTTCTGGGAAGAGGGGTTCCAGATTTTATGACCTGCAGTGGGAAAAAGAATGCTTGTTTCTATACCCTGCCTGGAGGAAGAAAGGCCCCCATAAGAGTAACAAGGCCAGAAGGTCAGAAAAGAATTTGCTTGTTTTCTTTCCCTTTCAAAGTTTCCCGAGCCCTAACAGTACCTGATAAATATTTCTGTAGTAGCCCTGTAGGAACAAAGCTACACAAATACATACCATGGGCTGGCATAAAACCAGGCCTGGAAGCCCAGGCCTGCAATCCCACTACTCAGGAGGTGGAGGCCAGGGGATGAGAAGTTTAAAGTCATCCTTGGCTATACAGCAAGTTTTAGGCAGTCTGGGTTACATGAGATCCCATCTCCAAAAACAGTTTTTTAAAATGCCATGGAAGGTTGGTTGGTGTGGTGTGACACAGCGCCTTTAATTCCAGAACATGGGAGGCAGAGACAGGTAGATCTCTATGAGTTTAAGGCTAGTCTGGTCTGCATAGTGAGTTCCAGCCAGGGCTACATAGTGAGACCCTTTGTACCTCCCACCCCATCCCCCAAAACATGCAATCTCAAGGAAACAGCAGGCAGGACAGAGCCTCAGGCTTCCCAGTGGAGCTGTGGTTACAGAGCCCTCTTTGAAAGCACAAAGTGCAAAGCGCTGGGTTACAGTTCCATCACTTATAGGAAATTAATTCAGGGACCAGGGAGGAGATGTTTTCCCAAACTTATTGCTGCAAAAAAATTTTTTTTTGAAAGTTTGTTTATACAGAACTTTTCCAGAGGCGTATCTTAGTGGACATGGTATTCCCAGCGGGCCCTGCACCTTACCCGGGTTGTCTTGTCTGTTCAGAGATGCCATTGCTGAGTTGAGCTTGAAACTATAAAACTCCTTTTAAATAAATAGATAGATAGATAGATAGATAGATAGATAGATAGATAGATAAAGGAGGGAAGGAAGGGGAGAGGAAGGGAGGGATGTTTTAGGGTCAGCAAGATGGCTGAGCAGATAAAAGTGTTGCTGGGCAAAACTAGTGATCCCAATTCCATCTCAGGAGTCCACGTGGGCAGTGCCATTCCCAAAGGTTGTTCTGTGAGCCCTGAAAGCTCCTTGTGGCATTCATGTGCCCCTGCACTTCAAACACACACCACAGATGCACGAAAAACAATTTAAGCCAGGTGGTGGAGGTGCACGCCTTCTATCCCGGCACTGGGAGGCAGGGGCAGGTGGATCTCTGTGCGTTTGAGGCCAGCCTGGACCACAGAGCAAGTTCCAGGACAGCCAGGACTACACAGAAAAACCCTATCTCGAAAAACCAAAATAAAAATAATCATAATTTTAAAAGATGTTCTCATGAACAGGAAACTCAAATGGCTAAAGTCAATCTCATAGTTATTTAGAAGTGACTAGCTAGATGCTGGCGAGATGGCTCAGAGGGTAATAGTACTTGTGGCCAAAACTAAGGACCTCATTTTGATCCCTGGAACCCATGTGGTGGAAGAGGAAGGCAAACAAGCTCCAGAAAGTTGTCCTCTGACCTTCATGTGCAAGCCGCGGTAGCTCCCCACCGGCTTTCCTTGTGCACAATAGATAAACAAAAACATAATTTATTTATTTTTCAAGAACTGACCACCAGGTTTCGCGCTATTGTTTCCAGGCAGAATTTGCAAATTCTGACCAAGGACAATCTGTACAGATGACTGAGTTGTAGGGTGCAGGGGAAGTGACAGGACTGCGAGGGAAGAGGGACACAGCAGGGGTCTTTAGCTCCAGGAGGTCTTAGACCTGTTTTTACGACAGAGAGGTTATGAGGGCCGAGAGCTGGTGAAACCGGGAGAGGATGCCTAGTGTCAGAGACCGAGGCCCTGAGAAAAGCAGAAACATCTTCGAATTGTCTGAAGAGGCTGCCAAGACTCAGCTGCCTCCACTTCCCAGCCCAGGCTGCAGGCCAGGACTGGGGTAGACGGCTTTCTCTTCTAAGGGTCAAGTCCAGTCCGTGGAGGCCCGCCGTGTGACCTTGCCGGGCTGGGAGTCGTCTTCGGAGCATCTCAGACTCGCGCCTCTCTGGGGAAGCAGCGCCGCGCCCACCCCGCCTGGGGCCCACCGACTCCCGGGGACGCCCCAGCCCCGCCCGGCCGCCGCAGGCTGCGCATCTCCGCAGGCTCCCGGCCGCGTCCTCCCCGGGCGGCGCGACGTGCTGATTGGCTGGGCGGCGGCGGCGGCGGTGGCGGCGGCGGCGCGGGGCGACCGGGCGCATTCGCCGGCGGGGG